ACATCTTAACTCTCTAACTTCTTCTCCTTCTTCAATCTTGCACAAACAAACTGCACATTCTACAGAACCCAAGACTCCGATTCGGGTTCATAATGCATAATTTTAAGCTCATGATCATGATCCTGATCCTGATCATGAGCATTTAGAGAAATAGAACTAAGATTATAAGGATGAGAAAAAGATTGAAGGAGGAGAATTTCCCAAGCCCATTTCAACTGATTAGCCATAAAAACTACGTAGTTTAGTGCTATGGTTATCGATGATTTGGGAAACTTTTTTAGGGTTTTCTTCAAAATATAGATGGAGATAAAAAGAAGAAGAAAGAAGGTGATAACTGATGAAGCTGGACGCATCTTTTTTCGTCGTCTTCTTCTTTTAAATGTGCAACTTTTGTGATTTTTCAAAATTCTCACAAAAGCTGCTTGGTGTATGTTTTGGGAAGGATACAGGAGCTTTATATATAGAAGAGGAGAAGTAGGAAATTGGCTACCTGAAGAATATAGTCAAAATAAAATACAGTAATATTTTGGTCATTGATTATACACGATTTAAATATTTCCAAAAAAAAAAAGAAGATTGAAATTTCAAATTTTGTGTTAATGTCTGCCGCTGTACGTACTATGGATAATAAATCATGGGTCTATAACATGCGGCAGTGTTATTAAAAAGGTAGGGGAGATAGAAGTTCAAGAACGGAAACAAAAAGTGTCAAAACGAAAATTACTGCAGTTTCAGTTTCTTTTCTTTCTAACCATGTTGGATTGAAAAAATCTAGTAATAACATGGTAAAGGGCAAAGACGAATTCAGGTTTAGATTTAGAGCTCGTTTGGACATAAGAAAGTTTTCCTTTTTTTCCAAAAAATTTGAATTTTTTTCGAAATCAGCGTTTGTTCATAAAATTTTCAATTTTCACTTGAAGATGCATTTTGGAAATTTTCAAAAATTTTAAAAACTCCAAAAAGCTGTTTTTCAAAATTTTCACNTATAAGGAATTTATTGTTCATTCAAAATTATAAGTTCAGAATTTAATATATTTAATGTTTTAATTGTTTTCGTATGTATATATATGCTCTACATTTAAAATATTAAGTCCAATTAACTCGTAAAAACCTACGCTACATTCGTCCTGTAAATTTTGACCAAAAGCTCTTCTCGTCTCCAATAGCTAATATTATTTTAAACATGCCAAACATTTGTGTAACTATAAAAATTTCTCATAAACGGTAAATTAAAATAAAATTGTCTCTAAATATGAAAATACATCAATTTTTTATGAACTAATAAGAATAGTGTCAAATAAAATAGAATAGGGGTATGAATTTTTTGTAATTAATGCTTCTATTAGTATTTTAAAAGACGTGGATTGGAAAGAACAAGGCCAAGTATGGCTAAAATTAGAGTTGAAGTGGACCTGCTGAAGCCACTACCTCAAAGTGTATTTGTTGGCCAAGAAAATGAAGATTCTCCACTCAAAGGTTACACTCAAAAATTAGAGTATGAAGGAGTCCCAAAATATTGTAAACACTGTAGAAATATTGGTCATTACATGATCAATTGCAGAGCTCTGGAGAAAAAGAAAGCTGTAAATATACAAGAAGAAGAGAATCAGAATCAAGGTATTGATCATCAGTCAACCAAAGAACAAGAGGGGAGCAAGGCTAATGAGAGTAGCAATGAAAAATCTCAAAATCTTCCGAATCCAGAGATCACTCAAAAACAGCAAAATGAAGAGGTCAATAGAAGCAACAAAAAGGATAGAAATAAGAAGACAAAGCAGAAGAAGCCTAAGAAGTTGCCAAAAAAGAAGAGAAAAGTTGTGTTTAAACCATCAAATAGTAAAAGAAGAGAAGAATTTATTTCAGCTGCAAAACAAAATGACTTCTCAAGGCAATCCATTGAAGAAAGCATACTTAGCCCAACAACAAAAAACAACACCTGCCAACAAGAACAAACTAATGAGAATATCAACAAGAATTCTTCTGAAATTTGAATGAGACTAATAGAACAGGGGATCAACAACATCAATACAGAATTACTCAAACTCTAATCAAGAAGACAATAGTGAAGGGATACAAGGTCAAGAGAAGTGTGGTGACCCCAGCTCTTCTACTGTAACAACAGAAATAAGGAATCTACCGGGACTTCAACTTGTTATGGACTTATATGAAAACAAGGAAGAGTGCAACATTCCTAATCAAGAAGATGACCTTTCTGATCGCTGGCAAGGAGTAGAACAGTCGAACAACCAACAGGAGGGGAGAAAAGAAGATCGAAATTCTCATACCATTACAGAAGATCAACAACAGAATAATAGGAGAGGAAGAAGTGAAACCAGAAAAAATAGTAGAAGAAATAGGAATAGAACTCATCCTTCTATGAGGAGGAATCAAAAGGAAGACAACCCCCCAAATGATCTTAATAATTAGTGCTCTATTATGGAACATTAGGGGAGTTAGATCCAAAAAAGCCATTCACAGGCTAAAGAAACTAATTAACATCAACAACTCTCAATACATGGCTATCTTTGAACCTTTTATCTCAAATGATAAATTAGAGGGTTATAGAAAATTCTTGGGTTTCCAACATTGTTGCTGCAATAATATTGGCCAAATCTGGTGTTTCTGGAATTCCTACAACACTACTACAGTCACTGCCATCAGTGATCAACATATTACAATTAACTTTCACAATGCTATTGGTATGAAGGACATATATATTACTGCTGTTTATGCTAAATGCAAATCCAAAGACAGAAGGGACCTATGGCAATCTCTTGAACTAGATAATATGGTGATTGATGTCCTTTGGTGTGTAGGAGGGGATTTCAACATAATCATGGATCCTAATGAAAAACTATGGGGTAAACCACATAGAATGTATAAAAGTCTGGAATTTCAAACTTGCATCAATAAATATGGCCTCATTGTTATTGGTTACAATGGTTCTAATTACACTTGGTGCAATAACAGAAGACCTGGGAAGAGAATCTGGAAAAAGCTTGACAGAAACTTTGTTAATGATCATTGGGATCAATTGTTTCAAAGAACCTCTGTTAGACATCTGGATAAAACAAGCTCAGATCATAGACCCCTTCTTATGAAGAACTTGGATTATGATCATCAACACATTAATTATTTTAGATTTCTGAATTGTTGGGTTAACATAGAGGGCTTCTTTGATATAGTAAAGGAATCATGGAATATATAAGTGGTTGGGAATCATATGTGGATCCTTTAAAGTAAGCTCAAAGCTCTTAGTAAAAGGCTATCCCAATGGTCTAGGAATAAAATTGGGAACATTAATGAAGCTGTTACCAATTGGGAAGGTAAACTTTAGGAGTTGGAGGACATTGATATTGAAGATAACTCGGAAAAGAGTAGAGAAGATGTCAACAGGGCTCATGCTCAGTATATTAGATGGCTCAATCTTCAAGAATCCATGCTCAAACAAAAATCTCAAATAAAGTGGTTTGAAGAAGGGGAAAATAATACTAGATACTTTCATTCCATCCTTAGAGAGAAGAGAAGAAGGCAACAGATTAATCGCATCAAGAACAGTAGAGGGAACTGGATTAAGGGAGATGAGAAGATAGCTAGAAAAGCTGTGAGACATTTCCAAACCATCTTTAACCTCACCCCTCCTATAATCAACAATTCTATCCTGGATTGTATTCCTTTCTGTATTTCAGGTGATGACAATATAATGCTTAGCAAGGTTCCAGAGGAAGATGAAATCAAGGAAGCAGTATTTAGCCTCAGCCCTCACAGCACAGCAGGACCAGATGGCTTCAATGGAACCTTCGTTCAGAGTTGCTGGAAGATAATTGAGAGGGAATTCATTGCTTTTGTGAAAGATTTATTCAGAGGAAAAGGTTTGACCAAATTCTACTCTCATACTTGTTTGGTTCTAATTCCTAAAATTGACAATCATGCTACCTTTTCTGACTTTAGACCCATTAACTTATCCAACTTTACTAACAAGATTATCTCCAAAATTATTTCTCTTAGAGTAAATACTTTGTTACATAAAATAGTTTCCTTGAACCAAAGTGACTTTGTAAAGGATAGACTCATCTCAGAGAATGTTTTGTTAGCTCAGGAAATTGTTCACAATATTTTTCATTGTAATCATGGGGGTAATGTTTTCATTAAATTGGATATGGCTAAAGCGTATGATAGAATGGATTGGGATTTCTTATATGCAGTTCTTAGAAAATTTGATTTTTTTGATAATTGGATTGGTTTGGTTCACAATCTCATATCAAATGTATGGTACTCAGTTATCATTAATGGTATGAGACATGGCTTCTTCTCTTCTTCTCAAGGGCTTAAGCAAGGGGATCCTCTTTCCCCTACTCTCTTTATTATTGCTGCTGAAGTCTTACCTAGATCTCTCAACTCTTTGTATAGAAATCCTAACTTCACTCCCTTCTCCATGCCCCCTAATATTCCTAGGATTAACCATCTTGCATATGCTGATGATATTGTTATTTTTTACAGCGGTGATTCTACTTCTATCAAATTGGTCATGAATGTTATTGATAACTATGAAAGAAGTTCTGGTCAACTGGTTAATAGGGACAAAAGTTACTTCTTAACTGCTCCTAATACTGCGACTACTAGAATTTACAGGATTAGAAAGTACTCTGACTTTATGGATAAGAACTTTCCTTTTACTTATCTAGGTTGTCCACTATATGTGGGTAGGAAAAAGATTGACTTTTTTGATAACATAATTAGTAAAATTGTGAAAAGGCTTAATGGCTGGCAAGGCAAGATGCTTTCACATGGGGTAAGGCTACTCTAATTAAGAGTGTTCTTCAGTCTATCCCAGTGTACACTCTTTTTGCTATGACTCCTCCTAAGGGAGTATTCAGGTTAATTGAGAAGCATTTTGCTAATTTCTTCTGGGGTTCCTCTGAGGATCACAAGAAATATTATTGGAGTTCTTGGAACTATCTTGCCCCCCCTCTTGATGAAGGAGGCATTGGCATTAGAAAAATGGAAGACATTAGTAACATGTTAGCTATGAAAAAGTGGTGGAGGATAAGGTCCACATCATCTATTTGGGCTACTTTCATTAGAAATAAATATTGTGTCAGATCTCACTTAGTCTCTAAAATGCTTGCTCCAGGTAATTCCCATGCTTGGAGTCATGTTCTCAAAATGAGAGATATTGCAGAGAATCATATTGTTTGGCAGGTGAATTCTGGTTCTAGTAACTTTTAGTGAGACAATTGGTCCCTTAAAGGTCCCCTGGCAAAACAGTTCCCTGATACCCCAAAGAATTCCAAATCTTTGGTAAGAAAATTCATTTCTGATGGTCAATGGAATACCAACAAATTGAAAGAGCTCCTACCAGATCATCTGGTTCAACAAATCCAAATCATTCCTATTGGCAACCAAAACAAGGAAGATCAAAGTTTTTGGGCACTTTCGGATAATGGCAAGTACACAAACAAAAGTGCATGGAATCTGGTAAGGAAATCTAGTCCAAAAGTTCAATTCATAGACAGGGTATGGAACTCTACTATTCCTTTTAAAATGTCCTTTATTGTGTGGATGTTATGGCATAGCAAACTCCCTTTTGATGATGTCATTATTAAATTTGGCAAACAAATTATTTTCAGATGTAACTGCAGCAGTAATCCTAATACTAATAATATAAATCTTGTATTTGTAGAGGGTCAAGCTGCTAGTTATATTTGGAAACTCTTTGGAAATGCTCTTGGCATTCATCATCACCCCTATCCTATTAGATATATAATTAACCATTGGTGGACCTCTAAGGCTCTCAATTATGTCCAAAGACTTGTTTTAAATATTACCCCAGTTATTATTTGCTGGTCTCTTTGGAAAGAATTCTGTGCTTGTAGGTTTGGAGATCAAAAACGCTTCAACAAGTATAGATTAAAGCAACAAATAGCTTGGAGCATTGAAACTGCTGTCAACAAAGCATATCCAAACTATGGTCTAAAGCTACCTTGGAATTCTTTCTATGACACCCTTACAAGGTTACGACCTGGGTACAAAAGTATGGTGGTTCGATGGTACAAGCCTGAAAGAGAATGGGTCAAGATCAACACTAATGAGAGTTTTCTTCAGGGGGAAGGAAAAGTAGGCCTAGGAGGAGTTATCAGGGATGAGTATGGAGACATTATCATGGCCTTCTCAATTTCAGTTATCGCCAAGAATCACAATATTGCGGAGGCTCAAGCAGCCTTGGTTGGTCTCAACTGGTGCAAACAAAATGGTTTCAATCAAGCAATCCTTGAATTGGATTCTCTAAACATTGTAGAGATCCTCCGTAAAGATAGCGATACTAACTATAAACTCAGTCATATAGTTAACAAGATCAAAGAAACCATCAGTATGCTCAATATTCAGAGCAATCATTGCTATCGTGAGGCTAATCAACTGCCGGATAGTTTGGCTAAAAGGGCAGTGGAAACTCAGCAACCATCACACTTTTATTCTAGCCACCAACTTTCTAGGCAAGCGAAAGGCCTCTTCTTGCTTGACAAAGATCAGATTCCTTGTATAAGGAACAAATATGACAAGGCCAATTTCTTCGTTAGTTAGTCTATTTTTGTTTGAGGGGGCGACCTATTTTCTAATCGCCTATTCCTCTCTATTTTTGAAGGGTTCTCTCTACTCTTGTGTTGTATAATCAAACTCTTTTTTGGCTAATACAACACCCCCAGGTGAACTGGGAAAGTTTATATAAAAAAATTAAAAAAGAGACGTGGGCGTAAGGCGAAGCGTTTTACATATGCCTCAGTGAGGCGTAAGCCCCGTGGCACTGGGCGTAAGCCNTGTGTGCGCGCGCTCAATTCCCACAAAAAACTAATCAAAATAATTTATTATATGCTACTTAGAAGCACAACTAACTTGACTCGAAAAGAATAGTGTTTTCTACACGGAGGACAAAAATGATGACTAACCTGTAATTTGAACGTTGAACTTGCTGCTATGAAGGAGAATGAAGTTTTCTTTGTATTTGTAAAAGAAAAATTGAATATTCGTTACTTTTGAGATATATTAGCTGACTATTGGACAAGATAAAAAATTGGAAAAGACCATGAATTAGGGATTCAATCAATAAAAAATGTCTTGACTTTTAAATTTAACAGATTTTAGTTCCTTTTTAAAACTTTTGAGTAATTATCTAGATGACTTTTGAGAATTTGGGTATATTATAAAGGACTTATCCAACAAATTTTGGTTTAAATTTGAAAAAGTCTCTGGGGCTTACGCATCACTAAAAAAACACGCTTCAAACACCCTGGCGTACGCCCCGAATTGCTGGGCGTACGCCTCTTGAGACTTTCGCTCCATACCATCGCCTCAAAGCANTTCCTTTTTAAAACTTTTGAGTAATTACCTAGATGACTTTTGAGAATTTGGGTATATTATAAAGGACTTATTCAATAAATTTTGGTTTAAATTTGAAAAAATCTCTGGGGCTTATGCATCACTAAAAAAACGTGCTTCAAACACCCTGGCGTACGCCCCGAATTGCTGGGCGTACGCCTCTTGAGACTTTCGCTCCACACCATCGCCTCAAAGCGTTTTTGGTGCGCCTTGCCCCGAAAATACCCTTTAAAACACTGGCTTCTATGCGAAGTGACGAGGCCAATGTGTATAAGATTTTTCTACTCGTACTCTGTTAATTTCTAGTATAGTTTATGATATCGTCCCACAGAGATTGGAGAATATAGCTACAAATTTATAATATTCTTACTACTATTTGAGAGAATCAAATTGATGAAGTTTTGTTTGTTGAAAATTTAAATTGCTTAAGTTGAAACAAAATAACTTTCGGAAGATTTATATATAAAAAGAGTTGGAAATTATTGAATTCACTTGATATCGTGATAATAATTGTCACGACCCAAAATCGACTAGTGGTCGTGATTGCGCCTAACACCGCCGTCAAGCAAGCCAACAGTGATTAGTCAATTTAATTACTCATTCTAGTACCTTAAAATCATAATTTTTTTATTTATTAATGAAATGGTGTGAAATAGAATTTACACGAACTACAATAGTGAACAACCCGTAGGAACCCCCAAAATACAGTATCACAAGAACTAGAAAATATAATAAAATACAACATCTGTCTGAAATACAAGTTAGATAGAAAAATATAAATAACTCTGACGGAGACTCTGTAGGCTGCAGATAGTAACATGAAATGCAGCTCACAGTAAAGTCCACGAAATGTGTGCCTGCACAAAAAGTGCAGCAAGTGTAGTATAAGTACGTAAATCAACGCGTACCCAGTAAGTATCTAGCCTAACCCAGAGAAGTAGTGACGAGGGGTCGACATCAACACTTATTAGTGGTCAAATAAGACAGATACAATAGAAGTAAATAGATGTGAATCAGAGAAGAAAAACGAAGTAACATGTATAATACGTGGTACAATCCTCCTCTAAGCAATAACTCAAACTCTCAGCTAGTAGCTACCTCCTCAATCAGAGTATATATAATGGAGCTTACTAGATAGATCGCCACAGTTCAATGAGGAAAAGCTCACAGATATGCTGGCTTCTTGCCAATTATTATGCATGATTTCTTAAGAGTATTTTTATAAAAATGCTGACGTGCCCGGATTCCGACGTGCCCAGATTTCGCTCTAAAAGTCTATAAAATCAACATCAAGGCCCACGTGCCCGGATTTTAAAAATGTTCGAAGGTAAACTTTACTCATAACACCACGAACTAAAATATATAACTTATTCCAAATTCCATGTCCAATTTCGTGGTCAAATTCTAAAAATACCAAATTCTAGATTTTCTATCAAAATCCTCCACAATTTCTACTAATTTCCATGTTTAAATCCTTATACAAACCATGCATTTAACTTGTAATATGTGGGAATCATTTACTCTCTGTTGCTTGATGAAAATATTCTCTTGAAGCTCTCCAAAATTGCCCGAACCAAGTAAGAAAATGAGGGAAATGAGCAAAACCCCGATTTTTAAAACAATCTGCCCACCCGACTTTCCGCACCTGCAGAACACCAGTCGCACCTGCATAATTTCCATCGCAGGTGCGGTTCTAACTTAGTCCAGGCTCGTCTGCATCTACAGACCCAAATGCGCATATGTGCTTCCACTTCTGTGGCCAAGGAGCGCTTCTACGCATGCGCTCCTACGGACCACGTCCGCTTCTGCGATCATCAGGCCTTTCCACTTATGCGGTCTTCGCGTCGTACCTGCGACCACAAGCCACCTTCTCCAGCTCCGCTTCTGTGCCCAAATGCTCGCTTCTGCGAGCTCGCACATGCGGTCAATCTTGTGCATGTGCGATTACACGAGAGCTGGTGCACTTCAGCCATTCACACAAGTCCAAATTGATCCATTAACCATCCGGAAACCACCCGAGTCCCCCGGGACCTCGACAAAATATACCAACCAGTCCTAAAACATCATACGAACTTAGTCAAGCCTTTAAATCACATCAAACAATGCTAAAAACACGAATCGCGCATCGATTCAAGCCTAATGAACTTTAAAACTTCATACTTCTACATTCGACGCCGAAACCTATCAAATTAAGTCCGATTGACCTCAAATTTTGCACACAAGTCCTAATTGAAATTATGGACATACTCCAACTTTCAGAATCGGAATCCGACCCTGATATCAAAATAGTCCACTCCTGGTCAAACTTTTCAAAAATCATCAAATTTCCAACTTCCGCCAATTGACGACGAAATAACCTACAGACCTCCAAATCAACATCCGGACATGCTCCTAAGACCAAAATCATTATACAAACCTGTTGGAACCTTCAAATCCCGATTCCGATGTAAAGCTTTCGAAATTAGAATTTTCTTTCCAAATCAATCCCGAACTTCCCAAAATTCAATTTCAACCACCCGTACAAGTCATAATATCTGAAGTGAAGCTACGCAAGACCTCAAATCGCCGAACGACGCGCTAGAACTCAAAATAATCGTGCCACCACATTCCAGTTGAAAACATTAGCTCGAGTCAGACTGAAAATCCTCCCTATAACCTTAGCTAACAAGCTTTAAATCCAAGTTCCAACTTCCGAATTTCTTTACAAGGCCTGATTCTAACACAAGAACACCGCACCAATCACCACGCACTGTACCAAACATGATCATGTATCTATGATGAAATCACACCATGCACCACATAAGTCGGTTGTCCATAGTAACATCTTCCGACCATAATAGCTGAAATTTCACGAATCCGGTGCCCGCAATACATCTCATGACGCATATAAATCCTGTTCCAAATCTCGCAATACTGCCACGACGAAAAAGACATGTAAAAACTCATAACTACCTGCCGAATCAATATTTCATGGAGTCTCTCCTCCTGACAAAAACCATTACCTCATTTTGAACAGAATAATAATATTTTTCCTTTAATGTACCTTATATAAATCTGATTGCACAAATTTCAGGTCCAATAATATCGTCTCACCCAGTACAAGCAGCTCAGGCAATAAGCCTCCTTAGACACTGCCTCAGACTTCATATGACGCCATCAATGTGCCGACAAGCTACAACTCGAATATGACACATAAGGAGGAACGAACCCTGGAAAAGAATTATCCTACCCGCGTAACGAATAAAATGGTCGAACAGATGTTATGAACCCTTCTCATAGGATGAGAAACAAAATATGCAGGAATACATATAGGGAACCGTACTCACCATAACACTGTTGCGGCGTGCAACCCGATCCAAATATGATACCGTCGCGGCATGCAACCCGATCCACTCACAACAATAAATAAGGACATACCCCTCAAGCCATAATGCTTCTACTAACGGAATACCGAATATCGGCCACAAGCACGCCAAGTGAAAAAATACAACTTTGGGGAGACAGATAGCGCGATATGCCACAAAACCCAAGCACGACTAAGGTGCGATAAATGACCTGCATCTCGAGAGCCATCCTTCTCATAAGACACCACGAGCTACACGGGACCTCAACACACATGTGAATAATCAAACCGTCTCAATCCGGCACAACCCGCACAGTTCACAACCAAAGGAATAGAGCGCCTCCCAAGCATAAACCCTCACATTAACGATAGTACCAAAAATCTCCGTACTTGGTTTCGATCTTTAACCATCAAGTGACTAGCATGTCACACTCATACAATTTCCCTGTGGGGTACGCTCCCACGACCTTCCGCCCAGGTAGCCAAGTGCGCACATCCATACCACTAGTTGTACTAATTTTGTAAAGCAGATCAAGAATCCGCAAATCAATACACAATGCTCCTTCCACAGAACACCATTCCCAGGCAACACTAGGATAATGTCATTTTACTCTGAACATCTAATTCTTCCCGGCTCATCCGAGCTCGTGACATTCTTGTCAACACCGAACTGCAACCTTGGTCCTCAACTTTCAAATTCCCATGCCGCTCACTGCACCTATCATGCCGCTACGTGAGAATACACGAATTCATCATAACTCCTGAACTACCAGTAGGATAACACTTCATCGGCTAGAAACCTTTCACTTAGCTCATTTCCGAAGATCCCATGCAACACACAACTGAATTCCCCAAATCCCAGAAA